TCAGAGGTGGGTGGTGATAAAACGATTGTCATCAAATGATAATCAGATTTTATACATATTTTAGTATAAAATAGTTAGTATATATTTATATAAAATAATGATAAGAGTTATTAGAGGTAAACGTTAAGTATTACTCAGATTTCTTCTAAAATTTTCTTTCTGCATACATTTTATTACATCTAGTAAAATTAATGTAAAATTTTTCATACTTGTAATTATTTCATATATATTTTAAAACAAATATTAAAGCACAATTAATAGATAAAATTATTATATTCAGGTTTTATAATTATCACATAGACTCAAAGATCTTGGTAGTATATATTTATAAATAATCATCATAATAGTAGTTAATTAATAATCAAATAAATAGAAAAAATAATTTTATATACTTCCAATAGACATTTGTGTCTATAATGCCAACACTCATCCATATGAAATAAAATTACTTGTTTCCCCTAGAAGGACAATTTATTTTCTTGATACTTTATTTCATAAATAAAATTGGCACATAAATATCTAATTTAAATATATTATAAGCGTGACAAAAAGTTCATAATGAAAAATTACTTATTCAGAATTACAGATCATAATTATTTCTTTCAGAGGGTGGTGATAAAAATATTGTCATCAGTAATATACAGTATATAAAGATATAAAATATAATTACTAAAAAATTGTTATGTTTCCTATCAAACAGGACACTATTAACATAATACAATTTAAAAAATGGGTCATTTTATAAATAATTATATTTTTCATGTTTCATATAGACGAATTGATTCATAAGACAATTGCATAAATAATTTCATTGTGATTCAAATGAACTATGTTTTCATCACATAACAAGAATTTCAAAATTTCAAAAATTCTTATTTTGTATTTGAGCGATGATTAATTAATAGTAATAATTTTCAGAATTAATAAAAATACATTTTAAAATAGTATTGACAGTTTTTATTAATTGCCATATAAAAATATGTTTATAGTTACTGAATTAAATAATGTATTAATTTAAATATATTTTTATTACCTTATATCAAATATATCTAAATCAGATTGCATATAATTTATATCATAAAAATTCAAAGATCTTGGTGATAATTAATGAACATCATCATACTTAACTATTCTATAGTTCTGTTATAAATAATACCTTATATACTTTTTTTTGTACATTTCTGTTATCCCTACTACCGCTCAATGCCACGACTATTGCAACACTCAATTCTGTTATCACAACTACCGGTACATCCTAGATGAACCCGATTTCATAAATTGATTATAAATACATACTTGATGAGAGATTTAATTGCATCATATCTGTTGGTATTCAAAAGTAATATATTTTATTATTTAAATGGAACTGAACCTCAACGAATTCAACAGCATCTATGCTAAATTAATTAGGTAAAAGGTATGAAATAGTAAAATAAAAACAATATATATTTAGAATAAACCAAATTTGAAATGGTATTTTTAACAGCATTCGACTGACCAGTGTAAATTGAACATGTTATCATGTTCCACTTAATACGCCAGTGAAGCACATTAGCTAGGTACACCCGTGGGGTATGATATTATCACTACACAAGTGTTGTGTAATTAACACAATGACCGCCACGCAGCCGCCTGTGGGTACATAAAAATAATGGCGTATCGATAATTTTTAGGCCGCACTATATCATTCATAGGAAGCCATATGGCCACGGGCTGCCGTAAATTCCCTAAATTTTGGAATAACAATAAATATGTTGGTGCTGTAGTTATATCTTTTAAATTCAAATTGCGACATAGTGGAAGAAATTGCCATTCTCTCAGTATATTGTACACCCATGTACGATGTTTTTTAGTCATAATTTTTATTACTCTAACTGAACATCAAATTAAACAATAAATTTTACTTAAAACTTCTAAAATAAATTTTTATTTTTAATAAAACTTAATAATTAAATACTAAGAATAATGTTTGTTATTTGCTTAATTATTTTTCATTTTTATGATGTTTCATAAAACAATCCACACACATATACACATCACATTTCTTACATTAAGTTGTAATTCTATTATAAAATCAACTTCACTAAAAGAACTAAAGTCGTCATCTATAAGTCATCTAAAAGTTCCCACAACACTTTAGTCACAGACTTTAAATCATTTTGATCGAGAACTCATTTTTACAATATAAAAAAACTTAATAATAGTTGACAATTTAACATTAGCCCGTCGGCAGCCATATGGCATCTAATAAAACTATGTATTAAGTTGGCACCACGAGGCCATACTATTATTATAATTAAATAAGAATCTTAAAAAAAAATAAACCAATTGATATCGGAATCGTATTTGTAGGCTTATTGGTACATTTTACGAATGTTACCCATAATATACGTACAGCATTATAGAAATAAATAACTCTGAGGCAGCCGGCAACCGTATGGCAGTCAACGTATTAAATAGATGGAAAACACTATAATATACATTATAATATAAATGGCAATTCATGACGTGTATTATGTATTAAAATACGGAATCTGGATAGTACTATAGTAGTCGAGATAACAGAATTGAGTAGTCGCGGTAGTAAGGATAACAGAAAAATACCTTTTTTTTTATTATATATAAATTAGCAATATACCCAGCCTGGAAATGTCGTTACATAATACTTCAGGTTATAGACATACCTTATTACTTAATTTTGTTTAACATTTAGATTGAACATTATATATATTACAGAAATCAAAAATCTTTGACTTTATACTATTTGTATAGACCCTTTTAGAATTTTTAAGATTATATATAAAATAAATTTTTATTATTTTAATTATTAAAAGATAATTTCATAAATAGGTACATAATTATTTGACTTATTGAAGATCATATAAATAATAAATCACGTTAAGTTTAATTCTAATGATACATAGTACATAAGTATGCACTTGATATAGATATTAATGCAATGGTAAATATCACATACTCATATAAAAAATAAGTACTGTATATTGCATAACACAATTATTTCACTTAAATTGATATTATAATTTTTAAATTAATAATATTTACTATTGAGCAGAATTAATAAAATTAATGGTTTTCTATATTTATTCAACTATATTAGGTATTTGTTAGGTATAGTAAATTCAGTCTACTAAAAAAAAAAAAGAGAAACTAGTTCAGAAACCTTTAACCTAAAATTATACAGTTTACATTGTAAATATCAAGGATCTAGTATATTTGAAGTTAAAATTAATACCCTTAAAATTTAGTTTCCGGTTTGCTATAACAAATCTATCAATGAAAATATTGTAAAAACATTCATAAAAAGTAGTTTGTTTAAACCTAATACATAAAATTGGTCCTTTAAATTGTTTACTATATATTGAAGTATAGAAAGTGATGTTGTTATGAAAAAGTTAAGAAATTTAAAATAAAATAATTTTATTTTGTAACGAAATTTACATAAAATCACCTCATTAAACAAGTGAAGAATCAAGCCATGTGTTCATAACTCCTCAAGCTGTATTCAACTGTATTCAAGTGATGTTACATAACTTAATATTAGACAGTACAATAGATTGTCTAGATATGTAACTCCAGTAATATTAAGTTAGTACAATAACACGAACACGGATAACTTAAGAATCAAACTCCACATATCATGTATGGCAATAAAACTAAGTTTTAAATAATTACATCTTTAGCAGAATACGGTTACACTCATAAAGAATTATATAAAATATATCGAACACTTATATCATAATGTACGCAGTTCATGACTTTAATGAACGAAATATAAACTTAAAAATGCAAATCGAAACGTCCGTCAAGAGGAGAGGGGGCATAGTCACACTAAGGACGTTAAAATAATAAATTACCATGTTATTGTCCCTCGGTCCTCCTTTGCGGTCTCTGTTGGGGCCACCATACGGTTGAAAACGGTTGCCTCTTCCACCGCGGCCACCATGGAATTCTTCTTTTGGCTTTTGATTGATATTCGGACCGTGGTGTGTGTTCGGTCCGTTGTTTATCGACGTGTCAAGTTTCTCGTCTTTTATCTGTGCCATCACGTATAGCTTGGAATCAACAGACACAATACAAAAGAATGGAAATACGTTGAATACTTGAACACAACAATTAGAACTTATAAGAAGCACGTATGAAGCAGACAACAACGATTTGAGAGAAAATGGCCGACCACGATGAATACACACGCACAGACACACGGTTAGGGGACGGAGACGGAAATGGCTGCGTCTAGTCCGGTGACGGGGGTAGTGGACTCAATGTACGGGGCATCCGGCTTAAAGTGGGAGATGACGCCGTTGCCGGCAACAGGCTCGCCAACAGTCACAATACATTCACAAGCACTTTATGGGATCTTTTTCGAAATTTGCCACTCACCGACGATCAGTAAAAATGTATGAAATACGGTTTTTTTTTTTTTTTTATTTTATATTATACTAACTGAACTTTTAAATAAGTTAAAAAGTATTGTAATTATTTTTATTATTTATTAATACTAATAAGTATTGAAATACCTTATCAACACTCTCTATATAGATTGATCTGGTAATTGGATATTAGAAATAATTTGAAATTTGATTTGCCGAATTTTACTTGTCAAACATGTGTTTAACAGACAATTTATTGATAAGTATTTAACCTAATACATTATTAAAAAGTTGTTTTTACTTTGATTTACATTTTTAATTTAATTATTGGTACGTTAATGAGAATTATAACACCATAGACATATAAATGTTAGGTTATATGCCTATGACGGGCATCTACTACGTTCTACTATATTTCAACTAGTGGCATGCTTAGGGGCGATGGTTGGGTGTTACACCCCTCTCTCCGAAATTTTAACGAATTTAGAATAAAGTATTGCTTAATGTTTGTATATAATTTAAGTTTGTTATTATAAATATTTGCCAGGGTTTTTATATATTCAAAGTCGATATTGTATTTTAAAATTTTTTATTATCAAAATTTTTATTTTTTTAAATAAATACATTTGAATACGCAGTTGTAAAAATATTGAACATCCCAACGAAAAAAATTTCCAGGCACGTCCCAGACTTCAATTTTAATTTCATCTTTTTCGATTTTGGTTTGAATCATCAATAGTCTAGTGTCTTTGGACATGTATCTTATCATCTTGGTCACACTGTTAGATGATTCTAGAATTTTCCATAATTCAATTTTCATTAAGAATGTCCCAAAAGGCGCTAGTGTGCTTCACCACAGGTTTTCAATTTACTCATTAATTCTTTTGGCGGTGTATACTCAAATTTCCACGAAAAACCTATTTTTTAGTATTTCAAATTTTATTAATTATTTACAGTTGTTTTTTAGTTGTTCCATTTTTTTTCATAGTAAGACAATTATTTTATTCGTATATTTATAAACTTAAATTAAATTTCGTGTCTGTTATGCTCATTTAAATGTTTCCATTGATAATATGTTCATTTTTTATGAATTTTCTTTACATGTTATATTCATATAATTTTTCAGATGGCTAAATGGGGAGAAGGAGACCCTCGATGGATTGTTGAGGAACGTCCAGACGCCACCAATGTTAATAATTGGCACTGGTAATTTTTTTTAAATAACCAAATCTTAAAATTTGTGTTGATGATTTAGATTATTAATTTGTTACTATAGGATTGAATTTAATTTTGTATTTTTGATTGAACTTGTAGAGTTAATTTTGATTTGAAACTAATTATAATACCTATTATATTTATCTTACATAAATACGTATTATTTTTATTACCTAATCTATTTTTGGTTTTACTGTATAATTTCTAATTGACGTATAATACATATGTATTTGTGATATTTTGTTTGATATAAAATTGAATTTACTTATTCTGATGATTTATGTCAAGTGATTTGATTTTGAAATGTTATGCTGTTTATCCTAATTATAGTATAATATTTCATATATTTAAGTAATATATCATAATTAAATATTATAATTTTATGCTTTATTAATTTGAACTATTTTTATTTTAGGACTGAAAAAAATGCATGTCAGTGGTCAAAAGACAAACTTAATGCTTTATTGGTTGGTATGATTTTAGAAAATGATGTAGCGAGATGTGAAATTGTAAACATTGAAACTTGTGAAGGAGAAGCTGTTGCTAATAATCGAAAGGGAAAGCTAATATTTTTTTATGAATGGGATTTAACATTAGCTTGGAAAGGACAATTAAGTGGTTTTGATAAATGTATTGAAGGCACCATTAATATACCAAATTTGAGTGAAGAAAATAGTGTATCTGAAATTGAGGTATAATGCTGATCGTGTTTTAAATCATGCATCATTGTTATAGTTTTATGTATTTGTAGACTTCATTATTTATGAATTCATTTATTTCTAGATTAATATTTCATTGAAAGAAATTTCAAATGAAGCAAATATAGTAAAAGATTTTCTTTATCATCATGGACGAAGTAAAATTCGTGATCAATTGGAACAATATATTAAGGATTTAAAAGAAGGTATTGATATAAAATATTATGTGCAGTATACTTCCATTGTTTTATTAATATGTATAGTGATTGAGAAGAAAAATATGAAATTAGAGTAAAAAGTTAAATAAATTATGTTAGCTAATGCTAATAACAATTATTACTTTTTGACTAACATAGAATTTTGATCATATGTCATTTATATTTACTGTTTAATTTCTATCAGTTTCTTTCTCTAAGCATGTTTTATCTAATAAGATTAACGTTAGGAGTACAAGAATATTTGAGTGTTATATTTTGAGTTTTGATAGTTAATACTACTAAGTTTGATTTCAATGAAGTATTGTTACATAGGATTTAAGAAAGTGTCTTATTGTTTAAAAAAAAAATATATTTATCTTAAATATCTATCTTAAAAAAATATTTATCTAAATTGACATGATTTTTTTTGAATTTTTGTAGTGAACTTTTGGTATGATACATCTATCATACTTTTCTTTAGTTCTGGAATGGAATATAGAATGCTATTAAATTGTTTCTAAATCCTTTTCTTTTTTTTTTTTTTTTTTTTTGTATTATGTTTTATAGAATTTTCCAAAGGCATGATTTTACCAAAAAAAGACATTGAGAATTCTTCAAAACTTAAACTGTCCAAAGAATCATTGAATAGAATTCACAATTCTGAAAACGTAAGACTGTTAAATTAAGTTACTTATATAAATATTAATTATTGATTTAATTCTTGGATTTTGTTTTACAGGGGGCAAAAGAAGATAATACTAAATCTAAAATAGATACTACTACTGTTGTTATGGATGTTGTATTTCAATGTTCTGGTGATGATTTTTACAATGTGCTCACTACACCTGATGTAAGTATACCAATTTTATAAGTAATTATTTATAATTTTATTTATACAAAGTATTGTTTTTCTGTAGCTTGTATCAGCCTTTACTCATCAATCTGTTAAATTTCAAGCAGTTAAAGGTGGAAAGTTTCAATTGTTTGATGGAAACATAACTGGTGAATTTATTGAACTTGTAAGTAATTAAAGAGAAAAAAAGTTACTATACTTACTTGAGGTGTCTTCAATGATACTTGATAATTTATTAATATTTTGAATGAATATATATTTTCAATGAAAATTGTTTTTAATATATTTTTAGTTCAAAAATAAATAGAATAATTATTATTATGAGACATGAACATTGTATAAACACTAAATTTAATTTAATATATACTATAATGTTATTATAAATATATTATTTATTATTTATTTTGAGTCGTGATTAGAGTAATCATATATTTGTCCTCAAAAATTCAAGTACCATGAATATTATATTTACTGAGTATAGCAAACCTAATACAAATAATTAACTCATCGTTAAAAATGTTTTATCTCTGTGTTCAGTTTCTCTTAGTATTCTTATATTTGTCAAAGTTAATTTTTTTTAAGTTCACACAGTTTTTGCTATGAGTAGGGCTTAGAAGTTCTAGGCCTTATTAAAGGTAAAATATACATTAAAAAGCTAAATACGCACAAATATTCATATTTTATAATAATTTTTAAGTTATTTATTGCTTTGAACCACCAATATCTTTCAATTTGAAATGACTAAACTTATTTACAAAATAAATTAATATATAAATAAATGTTAGTTAATGTCACTTTCTTAGTGAAAACTATACAAATTTAAGATAATATTTGATTCCACTAAACAATCATTGTTAAATGTTTAGTTTTTTTTTTTTTTTTTTCATACAGCACTGGGTTAAAGTGTTATGTGTTCCATTAAATCATTAGGTTGGTTAATTTATTTGCAATAATATGACATGGCATTAGACCAAATTTCCAAATTAATTAAAATGAGCTCTGGAAGAAGAGGTATTTTAGGGTTTAATTTTTAATTAGATGATATAGTTAATTTAGGGACTTATGAAAATTATATGCTTTATACTTGTTACTAATTTAATAATTGTATGATAATGTATTCAAACTTTTTTCACAACTCTATGCAATCCGTGTGCCAAACATGTTTTTTGTATTATTTTAAGGTAGGGTCATACCATTTATATGCAATGTGTTAACACGTCATTATAATCCATGCCGTAGTAATATGTGTAATATTGTACTGTACACATTATATACAGTACATTAGGGATAGCAAACATGATAAAATAAGTGAAACAAATACTTACGTTGGTAAATTCATTGTTTTGTTTTACTATTGTTTTTCAAATTAAGTGTATCTAAGTAGTAATTATTTTATATGTAACAATATTATATTTCACAAGTTCATCTTACAGCAGGGCTGAATCAAAGAAAAGTGGGACAATAACTCTGGGCCGCATGTTAAAGGAAATTTTTTATATTATCGTTGATTAACATTTATGAAGATATGTTTCATTTTATTAAATATTTATTACAAATTACTGAATCAGAATAAAAAAAATTTAATTGTTTTGGATAAAAGGGCCATGCCAGAATTTTTATCCCTTATGATCATGATCCATCCCTGTCTGAAGAGGCAGAAGAAACAGCTATGATAATACATGTTTTAAATCAGACCAGTAGCAACTGCAGTTTATGGATTCATCATATTAATCCAGATAGAGATGATAAATGAAAATGTATCAACTTATTTCCTCATTTAAAGAATTACCTTAAAAAGTTCCATCAATATTTCTGAATGTGATATGGAAAATTAGTTTACAAAATTTGATAAGTAATTCACTTTGTTGCTCATCACATCTTACATAGTTTTCAAAATTGTTTGAAACATTCAGCGTGGAATTGAGTAGGAAGGTATTAGGTGTTGTAAATATGATCTCAAAACTAATTAATATTTAAAAATAAATGGGTTTCATTTGATTAAAATTCATGGCATGTAAATGTACTTTAACACATGAAGTGTGAATAATTGTGTGCCATTAAGGTTTTATCTATTAACACCATATTTTTTCCTAGTTATATGTTAACTTATTAATTTCAAACATATTTGTTATTGAAATCATGTATTCTTTCCTCTACGTTTTTTTCACTAAGTATAGCATGAAATGTTTACTTCTTAAGAAATATTCTGAACTTATTGTTAGAATTTTTGTTTATTAGATATTTGCTATCATCAATATTTAATACCATTGTTACTATAGTATTTATAATCAGTGCTAGTACAAATTATTAGAAGAAGTAGATTTTTTGTTTGATTCAGTAAAAAGTTAAGCAAGTTTTAAGTATGACTTCTCCTAGTACAAAACTGTCAAATGTGAATTGCGTATAAACAATTTAATAGTTTATAATTACTTATATAATTAATTTTAATTTATGATAACTCTTAATACGTCTAAAATAGTATTTTGGCATATTAACGTAACAGGGACTAATGCTTGTCACAAAGTTGTTAAATGAAAATTATGTATTAATTATTATTAATTATAATTAATTATGTATAATTTTACGCATTTCTGCAATGGTGACATCAAATAAATACAAGGAATAAATTTGAGTTTTATATTTATTTAATATTATATGAAACACATAGGTTTAAAAAATAACTAATATAAAATATATGTGTATGAAAATCAATAAAATTTGTACTTTTCTTGAAATCAATGAAATATACATTTAGAATTTTTGATTTTTTTAATCAATTATTTGACTTGAATTTATAGTTTGATTTGTTATAAATTGAGAACATAAAATAATATGAAACTTCTAAACTTCTGAGGCTTAGTTCTGAAGGTTAATATAAATGAACCAAGTTCATGGCTTTTGTTGAAGTTAAATTTGGTAGATATTTTAGTTTTAAGTAAATGTAAATGATGTTAAATAACAAATACTTTGCTCACAATGTTATGGTTGTATAAATGATGACTACTTTAAGTTCTCATTTTTATTTTACATTATAAAAAAAAAAAAAAAAATTCAACTTCGAAATCAATCTTCAACCTCTTAAGTTTGATTTAATCAATAAATAGCATACATTATAAAGAAATAACAATTAGAATGTTTAAATTAATATATGGTAAAATGTTACTTGAATTTTTGAAGTCAGCCATACTTCAGTATAGAATTTCAAATAGTTCTACAATGATAAGATATACATTAAATGACAGAAATTTGATATGTTGAAAATGTTGTTATTTTAAATTTTTAATTTGTTTTAATTATTCTTATATCTTAAGAAAAATTTTAATTTTTTTTGTATTTATATATTCTAAGTAAATAAATTCAAAATTATTATTTATTTTTGTCGATTCCATAATAGTTTGATATATTATGATTAAAGATTGTGAAAATTAAAAAATAAGTATTCAAAAAAAATATCATTGAAGATGACTCAATTGTTGATTAAATCTATAATTTATATAGTGTCCCGGTAAAAAAATTGTCAAAAATTGGAGAACTAAGCAATGGCCTGATTGGTTGTATTCTACTGTAACTGTTAATATAAATCAGCAAGAAGACCACACAAAAGTTAAAGTTACTCTTGTAGGAGTGCCTAAAAGGTAAAAAATATTAGATAAATATCTATTTATTATTTGTGGTATTATAATTAATATTCAATTATTTTTTCAGTGATGAAGCTGTTACTCGTCAAAATTGGGAGAGGTATTACTTTACGCCCATTAAAAGAACTTTTGGTTATGGCATATTATTATGAGGTTGAACACTGAATTCTTTAATATAATTTTTTGTATTTATTTTGGAAAAATATTCGACTTTAAAAATGTTTTGCACTTTGCTCGTTTATGTGATTACTTTAAAATATTGTAACACATTTTCAAACGTTACTTACAGTCCTTATAGATGTTAATGACTTAGGTTAAAACTCTCTTCAATTTTCAATTTCAGTCTTCTACAATTTAATGTTATCTACAGAATTTAAATTAAGTAAATAAAAAAACTGTTTTTTTTTTTTTTAATTTCTAAAGTGTATTATTTATTGTTTGATCCATACATCCATTTTGAAATAATATATTGTGATTTGCTTTACCTAAGTAATTTTTACAACTAACAGTATTCTTTTAATGAATCAATATTGGAGGGGTTTTAAATACTGGAGGTGGCATTGCAGGACAGTTCTCTACTAGCTTTTTCATATTTGTACACTCGGTACCTATTAAAGAAAAAAAAAAAATTTAATTATAAACAAAAATTTACAACATTACTATACTTACTTTCAACCCACACATCTTTTGGACAATTCTGTGAAATACAGAATAATATGTATATTAGTATTATAGTTTAATAAATATTAATTTACACTCAATATAATATTTAGTTTTAAAAATGAATACATTTATAGTCAGTATTTTTGAAATATCTGGTTTAAAGCAAGTGTATTAAGATAATTATATAAATGAATTCCTTATTTTGCTTTGATCAGTATATTTTTATTATACAATAAAACTAATTTTTTACTTATATTATTTTATTTAACACTTATTAAAACAGGTATTAAATTGTTAAAAAAAAAAAAAAAATGTTTTGACCTTATTATTAATTGTAAATCTCTATTGTAAAAGTTGGATTTTTCCACTGCTTTATAAAATTGAAAAAATTTAAGTTTTTAAACAACCACTTATATACATTAATGTATGTAGATTGTTTTTATAAAACTATAAATAATTAATTATATGCAAATACATTTGATATTAGTGTCAATAATTATAATAATTATTTAAACTTTGACAAAAACAGTAAATATTTTAACAATTGTTTAACTGAAATAAGTATATAAAAATTATAATTTTTACCATGTACATATCTCTCAAAAAGCATTTCATCAATCTTCCTGCAGGAGTGTTCATTATAACCATGGGATTAGGATTTTTTTCCTCATGTTCAGCTAAAATAGGAAAAAGTTATTAAAAATTAATCTACAAAGTAAACTAAAAATTAAAGAACAAATATAAGTAAGCTTTACTTTCATCATAACATTTATTGAATTTAGGCTGCCACAAAGACTTCCATTTTTCATCATTGTTCATTCCTTCACTCATTTTTTTAATTATCTTGTCTTTGTTAAGTTTTCCATCATTAGCCTGAATTTATAATAAGCAAAAATGTCAAATGTATGTATAACAACGTTAATTGATTCTGAAGTTTTTTACTACTTACAACCAATCCAGATTGTATAAAAATACATTGAAATAGACATGGGGGATCTGCAATAAACAAATTGTATTATGATTAAACCTAGAAATTCAATACATCTATCAATACACTTTGTTATATTTTGTAGGTATACGAGTATGTAACATAGTGTACATTCATAATGAGTAAATTTGATTGTTTATATTATTATTAAATCAGTTGGCAAAGAATTATATTTAATTTTTACATTAATACTGAATATCACCATATTTATTTCAAAATTGCAATTTTATCAATATTTTGTATTCTGATAAGGTTAAGTGCTAAGTCAACATTATATTGTGAGTTTTTATAAAGTTGTAAAAAGTTTAATATCAAATAATAAGCAATTTTTTAAAAAACGTTTGCCTCTTAAAAAAATATAAATAATATATTATAATTAGAGCCCGTGTTTATATGTATTTGCATGTTTGTACTATGTGTATGCACGTCTATAGAGGTTTGTAATATCCACGATTCATATCACACCAAATTTAAACATCAAATTTTATACTGCATATTTGTTCATAAATGCATATTAAATGGTTTTTAATAAATTATTTATATTTACAGTAAATTTTGTAATTGCCTCAAATAGAGCATGAATAGACATCATAGGTATTAAGTTTAAAAAATACTATTTTAAAAGATTTGAATTTTTTTTTTTTAAGTTTTCTATTAGTTTTTTTACAGTAGGTAACTTCAAATGATCTAAAATATTTATAAAATCTAAAATATTGATTTTTAGTTATTTTTTTTTTATATGTATTCTCGTTTTTAAGTTTCCTGAAAGTTTTAGATTGATTTAAATGATTTGAAATATAAAGCAGTAGATATTATCAATTTTTTTGGTTTTTATAAAATATTTAGAATTTTATTTGGTAAAAAAGTGTGGTTTAAATCACATTTTATAATTCTTAACATAATGCATATAATTGCATATTTAATCACTTTTTCTTTGCATATTTGCATTATATTTGAAACTTTTTAAATGCATATAAATCCGGGCTCTAATTATAATTAATATTTTAATACAATTACCTTTTCCGTGTACCATTTCTTTATATTCTTTGGAATCTGGCTTGTCCTTCATTTGTTTAAATGTTTCAAAACATGTCTCCCATTCTTTGTCCAAACCAGGTAATATATTTGGCATTTGACAACATTCAACTAATTTCTATTAAGACATGAAAAAATATATACTTAGATCATATTAATATCTCAACGTCCATGTCATAATTCAAATTTATTTTAGCATGTTGCTAGACAAATTATCATAAATTTAACCATGAAAAAAAAATTAGATCAATATTTACTATTATATTTTAAGTTATTGTTTTTGCATATTTACACATTAGCAGTAACTTGAGTCTAAAAATATAATTATTTAGATAGAAAAATTAAACTGTTAATTGTCTGGAAACAATGTTTTAACCCAATGTTAATATCTAACTTGTGGACAAACTGTAAAAGAAGTTTACATTACTGTAATTCCATTTCTTGCGACTAAACTCTTAAGTTTTTCTTTTTTCAAGTGTGTTTTTGATGAATTTTGGTAAAAACTGAATTCTTAAGAAGTAATAGAATAATTTATTTACTTATATTACATCTTTGGGATACATTTATAGCCAATAAATTTAAATCATAGTAGAGATAAAAGAATAACCACCTAATGATGGATTAAAATGATTGTAGGTATAAGTATACAAATTTATCAATGTTTTAACTATAGTTAGTATTTACTTTGTAGTATAATTTTAACATTATTGTTATTAATATTCTGATAGGTTGAATCAAATTTTATCAAAAAATTGTCATCACTCGAAATTGCTTTTATGATAGTACAATGAAACAGAATTTTAGAAAGATTTGACAAAACTAGTGTTAAATTATAAGAAAACTGATAAAAATTAAATCATCCATAAGAGCTAAAGTTGGACTTAAAAAAATGTCTTCAATAAATGTGCAGTATATTTTCAATGCTCTTACAGATACAATTAATCCAGTCGGGATAGATTGACAATCAGTTATTGCTGTTTATTATGATGATGCTGCAACTGTTTGAACATTATAACGGAGTTCAAGCCAAAGCAAAAGTATCAAGTCTTAATGTTATGCATGTTCATTACTATGGCCATTGTTTAAACTTAATACTTGTCAATTCATTAGGAAAAAAATTTATTTAGTATTTAATTTATTTGGTATAATTCAAATACTTTATTGTTTTGTGGAAGTTAGTTCCTTAAGTAATTTTAGTTTACAATAAACTGAATTTAACTCTTTATCAACTGTTTGGACAGTCCAATCACTTAAAGAATCTTCAAATAACCTAAGAACAGACAATGACAATTTAAGAAAAATGTACGAAGAGACTAAGATTTGTAGTGAAAATAAAATTATAATATTTAATAATCTTATAAAATTCAAAATTTTTCTCGTTTAGTTGTGGAAAAATAATGAATGGCATAAAATGTTTTGTCTTTTTTTCAACTTTAGATGAAATATTTTCTGGGGTTAAACGGCGTTTCAGCCATAAAACTTTAAGTTTAATTACAGCAACAAGAAATTTAATTCAATGAAAACTTGACAGTATTGATATTTAAATTTTGAAGGAAAAATTGAATTTGGATAAGTAGTACATTAAATTGTGAAATTAAGCTTATTAAAAATATGGCTGACTAAACATCTATTATAAGGTCATCAACTAAAAAAAATGCACTTTGGCTGAATTGGTTATCATAGAATAACCGGAAAAAAAATTTTGAAACTTCAATAAACTAACTCTCAAATAAAGCTTTAACACAATCTCCAACAATACTTATGACAAGCTGCTCGTGTGAGTGAAGTTTTTCTAAATTGTCTATTGTGCAGTCTAAACTAAGAAACTCTATGTTCAAGAATGTCTTTTTCACGGATTTTAATATTTATGGAGCAAAAATGGCATCAGAATTCAGTATTGAAAAATTAGTAGATGAATTCAAAACGTTTGTGCTGATAAAGAAAAAGATTTACATTTACTTAACATTATAAATGTATGGAAATTTTTTAAACATATTCAATATAGTTTGAACTTTAAGAAATTATATATTTTCTTTTATTAAAGTAACTTAATTCATAGTAAGATCGATACTAGGCGTACCTATATTTGTTATGATTACATTTCATATTATTAAAAATAGATCCCGTTATAAACAGGGTTTTGAAATTAGCATCCATGTAACAAACTATTCATATAATTCACTACCCAACGTACCTACCATGCGTATGATTAATTTGGACCCTAGTCTCCTGAATTTTTACTTTATTAATAATCATATATTTTAAATCAATATTTTTAGAACTTTACATTTAATAATGGGTAAAATTATAATTATTTACAATATTCGATGTACTCTGATATGCATATAAAATATAAAGGTATAATTCCTTAAGTTATTAATTTGAAATATTTATGAATGAAGGTTATACGTATAATGTTTATTATATATAGCCATGTCAAATTATAGACATTTTTTTTACAAATTCTTTATCGTGAAGTCATGCATTATTATTATTATTATTTATTCCCTCTGTATAAAGAATAAGGTTATTATTTAAATGTTAAAAATTATTTAAAAGTTAAAACTATAGTAGAACTCCAATTATCCGAACGCCAATCTACCGGACATCCACTTAAAAGAAACAAGAAAAAAAATGGTCTATTTTTTTTAATAACTCGTTAATCGTAATCATATTTCGTATTATGGGATTGCGATAAAGGTAATCTAAATGAGTGGTTGCTTATGGACACAATTGATCTAGGATGCCACATACTATCAGATAATGAAATAGTTCATAGCTTAGTTGGAAAAGGTGATAACGAATGAAAAAAAAATAAAATGACAATGGTTTTGACTGAAGGTAAATATGGACAGTTTCATTCTGAGACTAATTATCCCGGAAATTTATTTATCTAAACTACCCTCGACAATAGTTAGTCTGGATAAGACTACTTCTATACTACTATAAGTTCTACTGTATATTTAACATAAATATCTTGTACTATTATATACCTTGCCCGGTCCGGGCATTAGAGCTCGACATTCTTCATCATATGTCATTCTTTTTTGGCGCAAATTCCATGTTCTCTCCAACCCAGCAATCTATAAGTATATTATTTTATACAAGCTATTTATAGTGTTATATTTTTTCGTACGGATTTTATTTAATTCGAGTAAGAACTTACAAATACTGTTTGGCAGATGATTGCGAAAATACATATACAAACCACTTTTTGCATTTTTCTCGTTAAATAATATTTATCGTGAAATTATTGTGCTAACAGTTGAAAGTTATCTGAACACTGAAAATAAGTTTGCTTGTTCCATCAATTTTAAATAAAATGTCTATATTTTCAGTAAAAATAACAATACGAGTTAATAGAAAATTATTAGTTATTAAATCTTTGTCAAGGTCTGGACCAATTGTTTGAATTATTATTTTTTCATTGTTAAGGTTAACTACAGGAAGTTAAAAATACACATGCCTCATGACCTACATCGTAACACGTAATACCTAAGTAAACGTGTAACTAATAATATTTTCACTTAACATTGTATTTAAAACATAATTGTTGATGTAATATTAACTTAATATGAAGTGATCAAGGTTAAAGGAAGTTATAGTTAAGTGGCATTCGGTAATTATAAATAATAACAGGGAATGTTTATGGTTCAAAACAATATAATGTTTTATAAAAAAAATAGTTTAAAATTTTTAAACTAATTTGACATTGACATAAAAAATGATGTTTGTAGAAAATATAAAATATAAAACATAAAAATTAATTTATGTTATCTTTTATATCCTACACATAATAGATAAATTATAAACCATAGTAAATTGTTTTCGTTTTTCTCTATTACGCTGAACAATATAACTGTGTCGTCAAAATAAAAAATGTATAAATAAAAAAAAAAGTAATGTATGAATACAAATGTTAGAATATCAACTATAATATACCTATTTCTTTTAAATGCACTTTCTTAAAGCGGTATTTTATAAATAATTTTTATATAACAAAAATAATAATGTAATAACAAAATTAGTATCTATACATTTTATAAAAAATGTATGATTTTTTTGTTAATGTATTAACGCAATTATTTAATATAAGTTATACTAAGTGTAATTCTAACTAATAACGTTTTAATTCAGGTTGAAGTATGAATAATTATTCGTATTTTGAATTAAATTATCTTATTCAGAATAAACGTATTTTATTGATTTATAAACTAAATAATAAATAAGCAAATAAGGTAGTTTTTATACTACACACACACTTTAACTTGTTGATTAAACTTTTCAAATCGCTATAATTTATTAATGATTTCTTAACTAAAGTTATTTTGTATTTATAAAAAATATCTATAATAAAGTTTGTATTTATTTGAAGTATTTTTAAATATTGTTATATATATTGTACAAATTTTTTATATATGTATGTATGTATATTTTAGCCATATTGGTTCCGAAATTCGTATGACGTCAACAAGACCGTTCCCACGTGTTTAAATGGATCAATAATATTCGAACTTTCGAAGCTTCTCGCTAGGGTTCACCACATGTCTCAGTTACAAGTTCCATACGGAACTTTTTCATTTGTAATCATTTTAAAATAATGTAGGTACGGAAAAAATTAAAACAAAATTATTTAATTCACAAATATCCTCTAATCATGTTTGAGGGTATTGTAGCATCATTATTTAACAGATACTTGGGCAAGTATATAGAAGATTTGGACTTAGAAAACTTAAATGTTGGTATATTCGGAGGGAATGTATTGCTGTCAAATTTAAAGTTGAAAACCGAAGCATTGGTAACGTATTGCCGTTTAATAATATTTAAACAAAATAAATCACAATAATTTCCATTTTCACAAGTAGTATGAACTCGGATTGCCCATTGAAGTGAAAGCTGGATCGATAGGAAAATTTAATGTGAACATACCTTGGAATGGACTTTCTAGTCAACCAGTGGTCGTAAAAATTGAAGTATTTAAATTATATTTTTAATTTATTGTAGTTGCAATACTGAACAAAATATTTATTAGGAAATATTCATTGTTGCTGGTCAAGTTCTTGATAGAGAATGGGATACAGAATTAGAAAAACGTTTGATGAGAGCTGCAAAGAAAACAATTTTAGAAAGTATTGACAATTTATCTATCTTTGGAAATGGTAATTATAATATAATTTAATTAAATAAAAATTAAATGTTTAAGTATTTAATATATTCTTGTTATTTGTATTAGGCTCAATGGAAAATTGTAGTTTTCTTGAAACTTTAATAACAACTGTTATGAATAATTTACAAATATATATTCGAAGCGTTCATATTAGATTTGAAGATTCAGTAACTAATATAGATTCTCATAGAGCTCTAGGTTTATGTATACAATCTATTTCTCTAGAAACGACCAACAGGTTACAATTAATTAATATTAATAAAAACGAAGACGTTTTACTATGACTTTAACTGTTTTTGATTTTAGCAAATGGAAGCCAATTTTGTCACAACAACGTGGACAGAGTTCTTTATATCAAATCGTTAAAATAGATTCAGCTTCAATTTATTGTAATACTATGTGTTCTACTTTATTATATAATAATAAAACTATAGAATCAGATTGGCAGGATAAAATGCGATCAGGTTTAAATAACTTTAACGTAAATGACGAGCCTTTAGAATTTAGTGAGTATTTTTATGTATAAATATTCTCAATAATTAAAATATTCTTAATTTTATATTTGTTAATTAGTTTTGAAACCAGTCGTCCTAAAAATAAAAATAATAATAAATAAGTCAAATGAAGTGCGAGTTCCTAAATTACTCGTTGACTTTGTTCTTCAGGATGCTGCTTTACAGATGTCTAGAAAACAATTTGTAGCTTTGATGGAAACAGTTGAATTTATGAAATTAGCACAGATCAATAGGTTAATTAATATAATTATCAAAATGATTACTTTATAGTTTTAACAATACTTAAATTAAAAAAAATAAATAAACTTTAAAACAATTTTTTGTTAGGATACAAGGTCTACTAATTTAATGTATTAATTTAATCATTTATTTTTACTGTAGATTTTATCGTGACATTCGTCCTCATAATATTGTTTTGAAAGATTCTAAAAGTTGGTGGATTTATATTTATAAATGTATATTAAGACAGAGGATTACATTAGTTTGGCACAAAATAAAAACACATAGGTGAATAATAAATTTAATTAATTAATTATTTAAATGTAGTATACAAATTTATAAATAAAATTTAATTTTGTGTGTATTTCAGGAAAAATTATAAAAGCTATGTAAATGTATACAAAAAAGTTCTACTGAATCCAAATGATATGGAATTAAAAATTGATTTACAAATGCTTGAAGATGAATTAGATATATTTAATTTAGTTTTAGCAAGAGAACATGCTAAAATCCAGGTGTGAAATTAATTTTTAATTTATTAATTTTTCTTTTTGAATTACTTTATTAAAAAAAATATATATATATACATGTAGCTTTCTGAAGAGAATCCTGAATGTGTGACTATTCAAGAATTTCAGTCAAAATGGTGGGGTTCTGCAAATTCTAAATCAATGTACCGTTTATGTTTAACATCTGATAAAGGTAAAACGTTTTGGAATTTACTTAGTCAATCAGAAAAGGATAGACTTAATGATTTATTGTGCAAGACTGATGGATCAGAAATATCTAGATCTAATAAGCCAAAACAATATATAGGTTGGTTAGATAAACATAAAATGTATTAGATATTTAGGCATATATATATATATATATATATTTATTATAAACTAAATTTTTCAGAACATAAAATAAATTTAACAATAGCCAACTGCCTGGTTAGTTTAATTAGTGGCTCCAACGAATTAATGGTGATCACATTTGGCCATTTGATGAGCAGTCTTGAAACTAGACCATCAGCTAAAGCATACAAAATTTCTACAAGAATTGAAAGTATAAATGTGGAAGCTTCTGTTGAGTATAGTCTTGTTCCAATAGTTGACACGTGTACTATGAGAGGTAATGAAGAGTGATTTTTCAGGTTATAATTTTTAATTAGATAATATTATTTAATCCTTTTTTGCTACAAGGAAATTCATCAAAATATTTTTTGAGTATTGATTTCGAAAAAAATCCACTTAACTCAGAGGCAGAATATGGATTAACTATTTCATCAGAACCAATGGAATTGGTTTATCATGAAGTTGGTTTTTCAAATTAGAATTTACTGTGGTAACTATATTATGGTTGTGTATACATATATATATATATTTTTTTTAGTTTGCTATATCTGCATTTCTCAGCTTCTTTTATTATAATCAAAAAATTAACATTGAATCTACGATTGAAAAATTTTATAAAAATATTTCTAATATGTTTGAAAAAATATTCAACTCAAATAGACCTGAATCTAAGTTTAGAAAAATTCTATTAAATATTGATCTTCATCTACCATATGTTGTAATACCTGAATTTGGATCTATTCAAAAGTATGTACAATTTTTATAAAACTATGATAAGTGTTGATCATAATATGTTTTATTTATGGTAGGGGTGAAAATGTAATGGTGGTGGATTTTGGTGGCCTTAAAATTAAAAGTGATTTACAACCAGAAACAATTTGTTTGGATGATGTCACACAAATGGAAATGGAGGAAAAGCTATATGATCGATATCATATCGATATTGATGGATTTCAATTAATATTTTGTAGCACAGGTTAATTTTTAAAATTAATTATTATAAAATAATAATTAGTCATAAGTAGATCTGAGATTTTAATGTTCTAAAAAATTACAAAAAATGCTCATAAAAAATTATAAAAAATGCGTTAAAATGTATTTATTATAGTTTAAACACGATATTATAAAAATCATGTTATCAAACATATTTAATTATATTAATTTAACATAATAATAATATAATAGGTTATATATTATATATAATTCAATTATTTTTTTAACATTTACATTCTATTCATTTACATTTGATCGTCGGTAGACTCTTGCATGGAAAAATTTCATTTGACTGTCTTCATTTTGTTCTATTTTTGATAAGTGCATGTGGTCGATATGCTCATATTTATAAGTTCATCATCAATTTAGTAGATTACATACTAAACGTGTAAGTTTTGAGTGAACAAACACCGAAACGCGAGATCAAATATCCTTATATTTAAGAATTAATTGATAAATTCTTTAAAAATTCTATAAAAATAGCAAAATGTGCTCTAAAAATGCATATAGAATTAAATTTTTCATAAAATGCAAAGAAATTCAAAATAAAAATTACATTATACATTATTACTTTAATCGGTATCATTTGCAACACTTTTTATTAACAATAAAGTTAATTTAATTTATTAACTTAACTTTTTTCCTTATAAATTAACGTATTATTTTTAATTTATTCCAATCAAGTTAATTTTGATATCAAGACCATAAAAATATTTTGTAAAATACCATATTCAATAACAATTTTATGGAATTTAGAAAAATATAAAAATAAAAATTTCGAGGAATTTTTAGATAAGAGCATTATTCATCATGATATTAACTAATAATTTGGGTCCCACCAGTCTCGGTAAAAGTAGTCGACCGTCTTAAGATTATTAAGTAAAAATAGCTCTGATACCCATGAATTACATTACCATTCTAATGAAAAGTGGCCGTAAATCTATATTACATAATTAGGTACTTATCATCGTTGATTATAGAATACAATTATTATTAAAACTGTTCCATAATCGATGATATTATTAAATAAAATTGATATTATTAAATATTATTGGATATGAGAAGAAATTTAAAAGCTGATCAAAATTTTGAGATATCTCTTTTATTGAAATTCAATAGGCATTTAAATTAACCTGTTCATTGTACTGTTTTATTTGTTTTGATTTTAATATAGTTAAATAATATTGTATAATTATTTTAATATTTTGTATCTACTGTATACATTTAGTGTCTGCATAATTTTATAGTTACACTTTCAGCTGCAGTAATTATTTTTAGTTTTCATACTGTAATTGAATGTTAAAAATAATACTTTTTTAAAATTATATTTATTATTTGTGATTTGAATGAAAATTTTTAAAAAACAAACCATAAATAAACTACCGTCAATTTGATATTTGAGTGCTTAAAAACAATCCCAATGAAGAAATGTATATTTTTCTACTCTAGAGTTTAATAAAATATATTCTACATAAGATCTGTTGTAAATTGTTAATATATATATACATACAGAGTTGGGCAAAAAATAAATCAAAATAAAGAATAAAAAATAAAAGCATGTATAACTAATTTATTTATGAATAAAGAATAATTTTTTTATTCTGAATAATTGTGGTGTACTGAATAAATTTATTCGTTAAAATTATGAATGTTAATAATTATAATAATGATATTAAATATAAAAGTATATTTAATATATTTTTTCAATCATTATATGTATTAATATATATTACCTTTATATAAATTATTTAAATTTAATTAATAAGTCTATTATTATTATACATCATTATTTAGGATTTAGATTTATTATTTATATAATTATAGGGAATAACGAATAACGAATAACTGAATAATGAATAAAATATATTAAATAAAAATCAATAATAAAATTAAGAATAAATCAATGAAGAATAATTTTTTATTCAAATAGTCAATTGAATAATATTTTATTCGACTAATGCCCAACTCTGTATATATATATATAAAACTTATATCAGCACTTAATGTACATTTTTTTTTTGTAATTAACTTCATTTAGGTTTCAATTGAAGTTAAGTTAACGATATTTTTTAACTAAATTTTTAACTTAATTTATGTAATACTCATGTGAATTAACTTAACTGAGTTAAAAAAACATCAATAACTTGCCCAGCCTTGGATTTCAGTATATTTTTCAAATAATGATCTATAATTTAATAAAAATTATTAATTTATAATGTAGTAATTAGTACTTATACATAATGTACTAATTTTTTTTTATATAATGTATGATCTAATTTGTAGGAAATGATTGGAGGAGTTTAAGAAGTCAGCCTGATTCTACCATGCACTTTCTTGCAAACACATTTGTACAAATTGTTGTGTCAAATAGTATTCGACCTGAATATAAACAATTAGCAAAAAGAAAAACTAATATTTCAGTACATAGTATCAAATTGAACTTATCTGATTTCAAAATTAATTCTATATTAGATTTTTTCGAAAACACACCATTACCAATGAACCATGTATTATCAGCAACAATAAAAAGACATTATAGTGATGATGATGAAGTATATATTTTAGATAAAGTTAGTTTGATTTTATTTATAAGATTTATTTTCTTAGTTTAAAATTTAAAATTAATCTCGCTATTTGAAAATCTATTTAGATTAATTTACATCAAAATATAGAAGAGTTACAAGAATTGAAATCTACTTTAGCATTTTATCAAAAATTTAAAAGCATTAATATTAGATCAGTTGAAGAAAGAGCTGAAGCTAAAAAGGCCTTTAAAGATGTAGAAAAAAAGTAAGCTATTATATAATTGAATTTTATTACATCTATAGCTTTTATATTTTAGAACTTTTTAGGTTTATATTTTATTTATTTTGTTGTTAAAATGTTACTTTTAATTAATTTAAGTATTGTTATACATTCTAAATGTTCAGTAAAACATAAAAAAATACTTTAACCTATTGTAATAATATGACAAAATTATATAAATCACTTTATTGATGTTTAATGGTTTCAATTGCTCCAAAAAATAATAAAGCTTATGAAATAAAATATAAATCTAACAATTTTTTTTCTTCAAATTAACCAGAATAAAAATTAATAAAATAATGTTAAAGTTTATTTCAATTTTTATAGAAGTATTGTATCATCAGAAATTAGTGATGAAGAATTTGCTGAACTTTGGGCTCGTACAGTAGATTTACCTGGATTTGATGATAATGTTTCACCAAATAACACAATAACATCTCTTTTCAGATGCGTCGTTGGAGAAGTAAATTTAAATTTAAATATTTTATAGGTGTCTTCTAATTTATAATTTTTAGATATCTCTTAATCTTCGTCGTTCCAATGATCGATCTGAAAAATCTTATTTAAATTTGACATTAAAACGGTTTTGTTTCGATTTGGCAATTATGGAATATGGTCCAGCTGTGCAAACATCTATTGGATCGATTAGTTTATATGATTTGCAACACACGTGTAAAAACGGCGAGTTTGTCGAATTATTTTCAGTAACTTCCAATTGCTTAGTACAAGAATCTATTAATTTACTATACAGAAAAGTATTGATGATAAATACTTTATGCATAATTATTATTTCATTATTAAGTTACATTTTTTTGTTTTATATAATTTAGGTAAAAGCTGATTGTCCTGATTTCAAAAGTCATTTCCACAGTGTTGAAAAGTCTTTAGTATTAGATTTAAATCATGTATCATTTGTATTTCACCGAACGGCATTTATAACATTTTACAAATATTTGCAATATATTGTCCAAAAGTAAGTCTTATTCATATCAATAACATTATTATGTAATAATTAAAAAATATCCCTTTCCAGACTCAGTAATAGAAGGATTTGTTCAGTTTTGACAACAGAAAATATACAAAGTTGTATAAATAGTTGTTTTTCCAATGATGATCCACCTGTGCCTCAAGGTGCAACAAAGTTCAGTTACTCTGCTACAATTTTGAATTGTAAAATTTTAATTTGTGATACTGGATTAGATTTTTTGGACGTTAAGGTACATTTTAAAAATATCGATTGTCATTTTTAATACATAGTTATAATGACATTTTGTATATATATATATCAATATACGTATCATTTTGTGGTTAGATTGGTGGGTTGGAAAGTGATTGCACGTTTAAAGCAAACGATCGTATGGTGTTTAGATTGTATGCAATGAATATGAGTATTGATGATTTATCTGAAGTTACGTTGTATCCTAAGGTATATTATTTGAATAAAATTTAAAAAATTCAGGAGAATATTTTAATATACATAATTTGTTTAGCTTTTATATACAGACGAAGATAAACTGTTGGAATTCAAGTATGTGCGGCATAACCCAAGGCTATATAAAACTAATATTGATGCAAGAAAAGATGACGTTAAATCAGATGGAAGTATCAAGGTGTACATCGGACGAGTGCATATTACTATTTTATGCAATATTTTATTAGATTTTCAAGTTAGTGTAAAATAATATTTTTTTCTTCGTAATTTGTTATTCTCGTTATTTAAATGTTATATTTAATTTAGTATTTCATGGAGCCCATTATTTCTGAAGAACTTGTTGGTTTAAGTCAACGTATACATAAAGTAATTTTTCCTTTTACTCCAGATTTAAGAAAGGGTTGGAAGAGTAAAATTCATTTGTCAATATGTCTACATGTTCCTGTAGTATTGTTTCCACAAAATTCTACATCTCCCAATGTTATTTTATGCAGTTTAGGAGATCTTACTGTTGAAAATTTTTTTAAAGAACAATTAAAAAAGGATTATGATAATATTGATATAATTGATAATATTTTAGCAAATTGGGATGCAATTAATGTATCTAGAGCTATTATGACATTGGACGGAACACTTGTTATACAAGTATTTGCAAAGTTAAATATTATTATTGAAAACTAGTATTAATTGATTTCAATTTCTTATAGGAACCAATGGTTGAACCATTCGGGATCCGTTTAGATATTAAAAAAAATATAACAAATAAACTTTTGTATTGGATAAACGGAGTTATTGATAATATACAAATTAATTTGGGACAAAAAGATTTTGCAACATTTTTACAAGTTTGGGCAGATAATTTTGAATATGGATATTGTATTGATGAATTAGTTTATATGATAATGCCACATGTTTCTGAGGTCCAAGAAGATCAAGATTTAAAAAAGATACAAGTGTTTTTTAATCATGAAGTTTCCATTCAAGAAGTCGATTTCAAATTTAATGTAGATAGTATACAAATTGCTTTGTTTGCAAATTCTGATGAAGTCAGTGCTTAATACTAATTTTAAAAATATAAATATTAACACAAGTTTATTTATTAATTTTTATTTCAATTAAAATTTTGTTTTAGATTTTAAGTTCTCCTATAAGAGATATAAATCATTCATTATGCAAATTAGACTTGGATGACATTAATATTAAGATAGATATGTTTTCAGACGATAGAGTGGTTTTAAGTACTACGGTACAAAAATGTGTGTTAGAAGATACCAGAAGACACAATAGATCTAAAAAAATGTAAGCATAATATTTTAGTATGCTTCATAAAATAATTGAAAAAAAATCTAAATTTCAATATAAATAAATAGGATATTTGAATCTATTGGTCCATCGGATTCATCTAATGAAGTACTTATATCTGTATCAACGCCACCATTGTTTGATTTGTCCTTTGAAAAAACATATTCAGGTGACAGGACAGTACATATTCATTTGGATAAAACTCGATTAAATGTTTCTATTCCATTTGTTGTGGAATTAATACAATTTGTACTTGACTCATTACCGACAAAAAGAAAAATTACTGATGACACTTTAGCATCTCCATTGATTAGTTCAGAAGGCCGTAGAAAATACAGAGATGAAAAACCAATGGTAGAGAAAAAAACATTGAACGCTGAAAAGCAGTCGGGTATTGTTTGTTTTTTATCTATTAGCAACTAGTGTAAATTAAATTAAGTGATATGAATAAAAAAATAATATTGTTTAATTTTTGTTCAGCTTTAACTATATCTGTTCGCTTTGGTCGTCCTGAAATAGTAATATTACCTCCTGGAATGGAAGAACTAGATTTTCGTGATCAAGTACTTTTGTGTAGAACAGAGTTCCTTTTAGATTATAGTCGTCATCCAGGACATGAAGAGCGGTTGGTTTGTTCATTGTCCAATTTTCATATATTAGCAGTATCAACCAAAAGAAAAGCTGAAAAAATGGTACGTGTACAAATATATTAGTTCATTGATATTTTTTCACTTGTAATTAATTAAAATTGTTTGATTTTACATTTTTTTTAATGATTTATAGGTTTTACATCCATGTGATATAGAATTTTCAAAAACTTTAAAGTCAGGTGATCGGGATACAATTGAAATTTTAATGAGTTCTAGTCCCTTAATTTTAAATTTATCAACAAGTACAGTTCACATAATTCTCAACGTAAGTTTGTAATTTTTAATTATTAAAAAAATAATAATTTTTGTTTTATTTTAAAGGTAATTGACTATATAGAATTACATTACGACGAAGAGTACGAATTTTGCGGATCATCTTATTGGGAGTTTAAAAATGATGATTTATGGACTCCAAAGTCTATAGTACCAAGTTATTTACCTAATAAATTATTATCTAAAGGAACATTATTTTCATATTTTCAATCTAAATTTGTTGATACTATTGATGTAAAATCAGAAAATTTTGAACTTTATGTACAAGATATAAATATATCTTTTGAGGTAGAAGAATTAGATTTAGAAGATATCCCTTTAATAATATTAAAATCATCTTTGAAAGTTCAACTAAAAGATTGGTCTGATCAACTGCAGTTAAATGGTACATTTGTTAAAAGTTTGAGCTATAAATATTATACTTTATCATATTATACATTTTTTTTAGGGAGCATAAATGTTAGAGCTTCATATTATAATTGTAATTTGAGTGTTTGGGAACCATTTATTGAACCTTGGAATATAACTTTAAAGGTATATATCAACATTATACACAATTATATTTTTAGTAAAAACTATTTGTTGTTTATAGGGTTTCTTAGGAAAGTTGAATGAAAAACATATTGATTTGGATGAAATGGTACGATCTCATCAATCTATTGCAGAAGGTGAGAGTGAAAGTTCAGATGATGAAAGTGAAGCTGAAATGAAATTTATCAGAAAAACAGTGAAGTCAAAAGGTTAAGCTAATAATTTTGTCATTTATAAATGTATAAATAAATAAATAATTGTTTTTGGAATAAATATATCTATAAATTTAGAAACATCTTTAGAAAAATGGTACTCTGATGATTCAGATTCAGATCAAGATACTGGAGTTATGGATAAATTAGCTAAAGCTGTAACACATTTAATTTCAGAGTATGTTAGCATAAAATTGTAATATATATATATAGGTGTATCAAATTATTTTTTAAATTTTTTTTACAGTGATTTTAGTGATGAAGATATAACTAATACAGATTCTAGTGATGATAGTGTAGCTGAACACGAAGCAAGAAGTATAAATGAAGATAGAATTTTAAAGAAAAAAATTAGTAATATTAATAAAATACTGTTTTTATAAATATTATATAATTTAAATATGTAATTTTTTAGGTGATTCTAGTGATTCTGGGTTGGAAAATGATTCTGAAGAATTAGAAATATCTACATATATAATTGTTGAAACTGATAGGCTAGAAGTATCATTTACTCCAGCTAACATATCTGTTATTGACACTCTCATAAAATCACTATATAATCCAAAAACTGATGATTGTGATTCTACTGAGAGTTTTGTTTTAGTTAATGATCTTGCAGTGAGATCTATTGTTATGCTTTATCAAAAAACGGAGGTAAATTATAAATTATAAATTATATTTGGTAAAATATGAATTAAATTATTTTGGATAGAAATTACAAAAATTATGAAAATAATTACTAGTATTAAGCTATAATTTAATTATACATTTAAGTATACATTTTATGGTAAACATGTCTATCTTATTTTAATAAGTAAATAAAATATACTAATATAAGTTATAACATATTACTTTAATCTATTTGTGTTTCGAACTCATCTAATTTTTCCAAATTAATAACAATTTTATATTATTTAATTTAATAAAAATGTTATCTTGTTCATAAATACATTAATTTATTATAATTTTGTATGAAATATTAACGTACATTTTTATAATTTATTGATTAAGTAAATAATAATATTCCCTTAGTTAAATTAAGCATTTGAAAATTAATATAATATAAGTTCTTGTTAAAATAAATACTAAGAAAGAGGGAGAAAACTAATTTACTAAGATAACCCAAGTAATAATTGTTTAAAAATCATAACTTTATGTATGTATGAATTTATTATTTGTAAACTTATTCAATTTAAAGGTAAAACTTCTAGTAGACTTGTTGGTTTAGATTAGATTAAAGCATTTTTTTTTTTTTTTTTTATTAATTTACTGGACAGTATTTTAAAAATTTTTGCTTTTCAATCCGGGAATTGGTTTTTAACAAATTTCTCCTGAAACAATTTTTTTTTCCATTTTTCTCTGTACTTTTTCATATTTTTTAGCTCTCCGCGAGAAGACTCTTACATTCTACATTATTTGACTGATGTATTTTGTTCTAGGTATTCCTCTTGATCGTGTTCCTTCTATCATTCCTTCAATAATTAAACTATGTAATTTATCCCCATGCCTCAACGTGTGTCTTATCATCTGCCATCTTCTTCTCTTTAATGTGTCTATTAATGATCTATTACTTTCAATACTTCTTCATCTGTTCTTCTTTTAATCCAGCTTTTTCTCTGCATCTTTCTTCAACACCATATTTATAGAGCATCCAGAATATTTTTTTCTTTATTATTACCTGTTCACGTTTCGTTTCCATATAAAGCCAAACTCCAAACGTATGCTTTTATGTGTCTCTTCTTAATAACTATGTACATATTTGTTGATATTAGTAATTTCTTCATATAGAATATAATATATTATAATATAATATATAATAATAATAATATAATAATAAATAATAATAATAAATAATAATATATAATATAATATATTATAGAATATATGATTTGCTTGAATAACTATGCTTCTAATTTCCTTTATCGATTTCCTGTAGTTTGTTATGCTGTCTAAGTATTTGAAATAGTCTGCTTGGACAATTACTATATTTTCTAGTACTAAATTTATCGATGGACCGTTTTGTACCATATTGGGGTTTTAGTCTTTATTTTATGCTGCATTCATTTTTAGATAATATTCTTTGAACATGATATTTATTATATTTAACGCTGTTTGTAAATCTCTCTCAGATGTTGCATGAATTACTATATCAATTGCAAAGCAAATAATTAGTGTTAGTATTCTTTCTATTTTCACTCCGATTCCTTTTTGAACTAACCAAAGTTCTACGATGCTTATTGATTTTTCAAAAATTAAATAAATTGATAAATTTAAATAAATAAATAATATCAATCATAAATTAGTCAATGTCACCGAAAGTGCACTCCCTTATCTCTCGCTTTTTTGAATTTTAGCAGACCTTGTTGTTGAATTAATAGTAATAATGGTTTCTTGTTCTTTATAAATCTTATAGAAAAATTTGTCTTTGAAATCTATCTCAATTTTTTCCATGATTTTAAAAATAGTTGTTGAATTTATACTATCAAATGCTTTCTAGGTACACAAAGGTTATATAAGTAATTTTATGTCTATCACTTTGCTTTCTGAATATGATTCTCAAACCTAAAATAGTTTCTCCAGTTCTTTGGTTCATCTAGAAACCATATTGGTCGTTCGTTATTCTAGCTTCTAGCTTCTTACTTATCATTTTGCTTATATTAATTATTAGTAATTTATCTATATGTGATATCAAGCTTAACATTCTAAAATTTTAGCTTTGGTTGATTCTTGGTTTTTTTGTCAAAATAAATAATCTGCTATATCTAAAATTTCTCGAAATTATCCCAGTCTCGTATATTTTACATATTAATTTATACGGAGCGTTCTTTATTTCGTTTCCTGCCTGTTGTAGAAGATCTGTATTGAATTTGTCTGGACCTGGTGCTTTATTTTTTTCCAAGTGTTTCTTCAAATTCTGATTTTAGAATCCCTGTACCTATTTGTTATTGAATGAAAAGTATCTTTCAATCAAAGAGTGAGTCAGTGTTTTCTTCTTCTCCATACAGACCTACATTTTCATTTATTCCTTTTATTGAATTGTTGTTTGATAACCTTCCAATTTTTTGTCTTGTTGGTTGTATTTCATTATGTTATCTATTTTTTCATAATTATTTTCGATTTACATTTCTTTGGCTATTTTTGCTTCTCGGTTTATTTTATTTCTTAACAATTTATACTGTCTTTTACTTTCTTCATCTGTTTTGTTTTTAAACAAACTTCTTCTCTCTATATCTTGTAATATTCTCATTGTTATTTATTCACATCAAGGAGTTGATTTTTTTCTAATTAATATTTTTTCTGTAAATTCGACAATTGATTCATTTATGTAACGTTATCTCTGTTCTCTATTTTCGGAAACCTCTAATCTCCGCTTACTTTTAATTTCAAGTTTTTTATTACATTTCTTTTCGAATGACTTTCTTATTTTTGGTCGCTTTAATTCAACTATTTTCCATTTATTTTTTATTTTTTTTATTTTCCTTACTTTTTAAACTTCAACATGGATTTAATCATTTCTAGGTTGTGGTCACTGATAATATCAGTTCCTGGATTTTATTTTATTTTTGTATCTATTATTTACCAAAATATATTCTAATTGATATATTTTGGAATTTTATATGTATAATGCCTTCTTTTTATAATTCTTAAAAGGGGTGTTATAACTAAACAATACTCTCTGCAGAATTTGACAAGCCAATTACCTCTTCATTCCTTGTTATGAGTTCATATTTACCAACTTCTCTATTATCTGCATCTTCCCCTCTACCCTCTTATCATTTGAGTCCTCCATGGCGATTAGATTTTCCTAAAAGTCTCTGAGTTGATGAGTTCTTTTATCTTTTTGTAAATATTTTCTACTTCATCCTCGTTCGCTTGTATTATGGACATATACACTTGTATTATAGTGATATTGTTAGGGACAGATTTTAATTTTATCAATATGAGCATATCATCGTAAGCAATGTTACTTCTTACACAATGCGCACAAAATGATTTAACATTATTTAAATCTGAATAATCAGTTTCGTAATTCTTGTTATTTCATAGTGTTAAACGAACGCATCCAGGTCACACTACAATTGGTCATTACTTTACCAAGTAAAATACGTAATGATTATTGTTTATTTTTTCTTTTTAAACTTCAAAATTTTCCACTTTTTCACTTATTTAAAGATTTGTATTTTGATTTACATTATTTATTATATTCAGTTTGTTAGTTGGGGTAAATTTCTAGTAATTAACAGTGTTTTATTTATTTTAGAAAGGATTAGTTCATATTTTAGAAGCAATCGATGGATCTAGAACATCTTCCATATCTAGGCAAAGGTCAGTTAATAATATAATTATTTAATTAATTTATCATGAATCATTTTATAGAATTTATATTTAAATTACTCATAAGTACAAAAAACAAATATTAGATAAATATTTAATTAACGGAGTGTTCGGAGTGTAGGCGGTTGACAGGAGAATAGAACAGAGTATGAATGTTGCGAACATGAAAATGCTTAGATGGATGATTGGAATAACAAGAGATGATAGAATATATGATTGGAACGAATATGTGTGAACTAGTATAGATAAAGCGTCAATAGTGGACAAGATGAGAAAAAATAGGCTGAGATGGTTTTTGGTATGTGAGAAACCAAAGCAGTAAATGAACGTTTAAGGGAGAAAGGAAGACTAAAAAGAAATTGTTGAATACGATTGAGAATGATATGAGGGCTGTTAGTGTGTACGCAAGAGGTATAACAATTCGAGTAGAGAAGAGGTTTTGGACAAGGGTGGCTGACCCCAATGAGTTGGGAGAAAAGCGAAGAAGAAGATACATATTTCATATTTAATCAACAATATATTATAACTATCTTTGTAATTTAAATTCACAGTAATATTTTAATCTTAGGTAATTAATATATGATATATATATATATATATATATATATATATATTATTATTTATATTTTAGCATGTCTAATGATTGCACTTTTGTTAACAATTTAATAAAAAAAAAGAACTTCGATAACGTCGATGATAATTCTAGTGAATTGATTTATACAAAAATCTCCGACTATCAGCTAAATATAAAAGTTGAAGGCAAGTTTATTTTCTTAATTTTAGTAAAGTAAAATATTTTTTAAAAAATAATTATATGCAGGTTTTGATGATTTGATTGTGGTTTGTCCTAAACGTACGTGTAACAAATTGCATGCCCTTTCACCAATAAAAAATGACACTAGATATTGGATTATGGTGTCTGTTGTGTCTAAGAAATTGAGTCACATAATTACTCTAAGATCACCACTTATGGTACTCACTTAATATTAATAAAAATCAATCTTTTTTCAATAAACCATTTATCTTATAGTTGAAAAATGATACATCTTATCCCTTAATGATTCATTATAACCGTACCGAAGCTATGGATACTTTTGAAATGGATTCTGAAATTTTTGAAGAGTCTGACAATCCATTTGAAGCTATATGTACTTTAGCAATTCTTGAATCAGGATCAGTTTTTAATGTACCAATAGCTGTAGCATATCATTCAAAATTATTTTTATCTCCTGCTAATTTGCAGTAAGTCAAATAGAAAATAAAAAAGTCATAGCCAGTAATTGGTATTTAAATTAGGAAATATTTATATAAAATAATGTTATTTTTTTAAAGAAATTATCTTGTAAGTGATACAGGAGTCTGGTGGCCTGATTTATCAATTGATACAAGTTTTGGAAAAGATTTAGTGTGTGCTACATCATCTAAAGTCGATGATTTACCAAGTTTTTCTGTTAGGGTGAGAACATGAATTATTTATTGAGTATAAGTATAATATTATTTGTAATAATTAATAGTTGATTTTTAACTATTAATAAGTGTTATTAATAGTTAGATGCCCTATATAAATTACAAGTTTTCTATAGGTGGTTTGTGAAGAAGGAGAATCAGTATTTAACCGAGCTTCAAGAACCGTGCCAAATTACACTTTAAGAGCAGTTCCTCCAGTGATCATACACAATTTTCTTCCGTTTGCTATAGAAATCAATTTTCCACATTTCAAGCACCATATTGAAGCTTCAGAAAAAATTGATGTATATATGTTAAATTTAACACATAGGGTTTTGAAAACTGACTTAATTGTACCATCATATCTTGGTATATCATGGTCTGGCAATTTTAACTTACGAAAAGATATTAATGAAAAAATTATTAACTTGAGCACTGAACATGACACAGATGGTGGTAATAAACATTTGAAAATTGCAATTAAAATCACCAATGAAGATTCTTGTCGTATTATTATCCATTCTCCATATTGGATTGTAAATAAAACTGGATTACCATTACAATTAAGGGTATATTATATTAAGAATGATATAAGGTTATTTAATTAATTTGAGTTAATTTATTTGTATATTAGGGTTCGCGATCTGATATTGTGTATGAATCACACTCAGAAGAACCTATTTTGTTTTCATACAAACGATTAAAAAAACGATACATTAAGCTTAGGGCTTATCATTCGAATTGGTCATCTGCATTTTCAATGGATGCTGTGTATTGCCCTGGACTTGTTATTTGTAAAGATAAAGAGCGACAGAAAAAATACCGAATTTTAATGAAACCCGTTTTATCTCATTTGTGTCCACATTTAACCACAATTGTGACATTTTTACCAAATTTTTCTGTCGTAAATAGTTCTAATAGGAGTTTACGTTTCATGGAAGATAACCAAGAAGCAGATTTATGGACAGATATTTTACAAGGACAGGTATTTTTTAGGTTAATAGGTAGTTAAAATAATTTAACATATAATATATTTATTTTATTGAAGACACTACCTTTTTGGCCTGAAACTGATTCAATGAGAATGTTTGTTAAATTTCGTGATAGCAAATCGGGATCACAACATTTTTCAATTATAAAAGAACAACAGACTGTTCTTAGAATGGATAGAGGAGTAAAAATATAAATACATAATAATAAGTTTAATTAAATAAAAATAAATTTATTTTTAGAGGGCACTTGTAGTTAAAGTAACAGGTGGTGGAGAAAATCCGTTTTTAATAAGTTTTCATAAGTTTTGTCAAAACGATGCCCCAGTACGAGTTGACAATATGTGTGATGATATTTTTCTAAAAATTCATCAAAAAAATTTGGGTCAAGTATGAACAATCTCTATATTTATTAAATATATTATATTATAATTCACCCAATATCTGATTAATGTAAAGGTAACATTACTAAATCCTAATCAATCAGTTTTATATACTTGGGATGATCCAACGGAAGAACGTGTTCTTTACTGGAATGTGTACAGCAAAAAATCTAAAGGTTTTGTTGCTAAGTATGAAAAAGAAGGATTTGGGCAAGAAAGAATAAGCTTTTGCCAAGTAAAACAAACAGAGACCGCAAACAACAATTTAAATTTAATGAAATTAATAACAAGTCAAACAACAGAACTAAGTGATGATAGTAGTACTGAAAATTCAGATTCTGATGAACCATATCCTAAAGTAAAATATTAATTTTTTTTTTTAATATCTATAATTATTAATCTGATGCTCGATTTAGTTAACTAAAACAAAAAAGGCTAAGGTAATGGTTTATTGGGTCAGTTATGTTGACGTTGGAGGTCAAAGAGTATTGCTTTTTACACAAGATGAAAAAACAGCATCAACAGCGCGAAAAAATATTGAAAATAATAAATCTAGTATCGATTTAGTTCTATCTATTAAAGGAATTGGATTGTCCCTGGTACGATTTTTCAAAATAATTAAGGTTTTGTAATAAAATAAGGTTTATGTTTTAGAGTACTTCTCGTGGTGTACACATGGAAGAAATTGCCTATGTTAGTTTAACAGATTCAGCTTCTGAATGGATGGTGAAAGTAGGAAATATGTGGAAACCATTTACAGTTGAACTCGCATGCTGGCTGGAAGATATGTGGGCAAATGAAAATAAAAAAGCACATTTAAAAGACTATATCCACGTAAGAAAAATGAATAATCAGTTTTCATTATAAAATTTAAAATAAACATTTTATGTAGGTGGATTTTGATAAAATGCAAATGATTAGACCATTCTTTGGACAACTTCGTCGTTCATACAATCCAGCTGTTTGGAGTCTGTGTAGAATTACTTCAAAAAATACTGCCATTTTATTTAAAATTCATAGAATACAAGTGAGATTAAAATAAATATGACTTATTTAAATATGTTTCAGATACATTTTTGTCTAAATAAACTAATTGCTATAAAAACTACTAATGCTAATAAAGAGTTCAAAATACATTTTTTGATTACATAATACTTATGTTATTTAAAATTATAGATAGATAATCAGTTATCAGACTGTACATTTAAAACTGCATTGTATCCAACATCTACATGTAAAACATCTCGTTGTTTAAAATCATTTTTGGAAATTGCATATTCTAAAACATCAGTTTCCAACTATTACGATGTTTACAAGTACTAACATTTAAATGTGTATATTTATTGGGTAATATTGTAATAAAACTAATATATTTATTCAATTTTAGATATTTTAATGTAAGCGTTCAAGATTTTGTTGTACAGTTAGATAGAACGTTTGTGGTTAGTATGCATAAAACCTTATCACCACTTCTTGCAGTTTTTGAATGTCCATTAGATGCTAGATTCAGGCAAGATGTAAGTTCGCTTCATGCCCCTAATATACCGCCGGTAAGAGTGTTTTGACTAATATTTATTTATTTTTTTGAAAAATTGTTAAATTTTAATCTTTAGGGGAAAAAATCTGGAAAAGCGTTTATTGAGTATTTTCATTTTTCCCCATTTAATGCACAATTAAGTTTTTCGGCTAAAGTACCAGAGCTTAGCTCATTGAAGAGTTCCAGTAGTTTTGCAACAGATGCTCTTCTTTATGTACTCGATGGTCATGCTAATCGTTTAAGTGATATAAAAGCTATAAATCTTAAGTATGATTTTTTGGTATTGTTCGTTTTAAATAATATTAATTTTCCTTTCAAAATAATGTAGTATTAATAGCTTAACAAGAAAAGGACTATATAAGGAGTCATTTAGCTCATTGTTTAATTATGGATGGAAATTCTATGCACGACAGATGTTAAAACAATGTCATGTTTCTATTTTTAATTTGGATGTATTGGAAAACATTTACGAAATGGACGAAATTATAGAGGAAAAAATCAACTTTGATGTTAGAAAAATAACTAATTATTAAATATATTTCAATTCGACTGTATTATTAATAATTAAATTACAATTTTTATTTTTGTAGGAGCAATTGGGGCCTTTATGCAACAGTGTACAAGGCTCATTTACGTCTGTTGAACACAATGAAGAAAAATGGAATTTTGATGAATCAATACCAGAACGAGTGATATCTGCCCATAAAGGGACGGAAATGTCAGTGCTTTTATCTATGTCTGGTGCATTACAAAGACCTCATATCGGTATTATTATATTTAGCGTATATTATATCTTATATATATTATACATTTAACTTGTAATGTCTAGGTGGAGAGGATGAAAGTGCTGCAGAATCATTCTTTAGAGGTCCTGGTCGGAACTTATTGGCAGTGCTGTCAAAATCAAATGTATCCGACAAGGTGTCAATGGCATATGATGGAGTTAAAAGGTATTATAAAACATATTTTGTTTGTATTTATTTATATATTTTGTTATTTTAGAGTTATAGAGTCTGGTGAAGATGTAGTGATGCGAACACGAATTCCAAGATACGTTAATCCAATGGTTTGTGGGGAATATTATTATTATTTATTTTAACTTTAACAACAAATTTATATTTATAGGGAATGAAAAGTTACTCTTTATACGAAGCAGTGGGCTTACACCTGTTTAAAATTTTAAATCGTTCACTTTCTAATGACTGTTATTGGGCACATGTTAGTTTCCTTCCTGAGGGTAAAAAGGTCCTTCTTATTACATTAAGGTAAATTATGCATTTATTTGGAAATCATTTTTTGAACTGATTTAGATAATGTATTTTAGACGGGTGATTTTAGCAGAAAAATATCGCACTAAAGGACCGTGGGAGATAGAATGGAGCATTTATGTAGATAATATTATAGATGCGCCGAAAATCGAAGAAAATAAATTAATTTTCAAAGTCCGACAAGTACGTTTTGACGCGTCATTGATAATTTACCAAAAAACCGTTTATAATTTTTTTTATTTTTAATTTTTATACAGGACGAACATCATTCGAGTTATTTCTTCAGAGGTGATGAAAAATGTATTGAGTACGATGATAAACCAACATTGAAATGGATTAAGAATAAAATCCAACAAGTTATGGTCTTAGGATACGAGGATAAACCACTAAAATGAAAACAAATATTCAATAATATTAGTATATAGTTTAGAATATTACTGTCATAAACTATCGACGTTTCTTGCGTTGGATAATAGCAATATAATATATCTTGAAAAATCAATAGTAGTTTACATCCTTATATTTTGTTTTGATGTTTTCTACAGTAATTTTTATTGGAAACATTATGATAATCTGTTTAAGAAATCGATAAATAATCAAAACGATTACGTTTATAATTTACTCGCCTTAATTTGATGCACTGTTATAGTATTATGTATATTTAAAGTATAATATATTCTTTATTTTAACATTAAAATGATGAAATATACTACCATATTATTATTCATTAGAAAACAAAAATAACTTTATTATTATCGAATGAGATTGATTTTTAGATGGTTGTTGTTATTTGATTCAAAAATAATTATAATACTATGAAATAAACTATATATCGTTCTTCTCCAATAGATGAAATTTATTATTCCTTGTTCTATTAATATATATATATATATATATATATATCAAACAATTATTTAAACAAATAATCTCTTAGTTAATTTAAGAGAATTACATATTTATATAAATTTTGTATTAATGTTTCTTTCGAAATATCCTTAATCATCTGGTAAATGTTTGATTCGACTGTGAAATAAAATAACATATTTGGTTGCATTGTAACTTATGTATTCGGCTTACGAGGTACATTTATATTTATTTTTCAATTTATAATATTTAGCAAGTTATTTATTGTAAACATTATGAATTTGAATACACTGTTATTGCATTATATGAACACATGACTTTGTATTACGTTGTCCGTCATGAATTCAATAGGTAAACTTTTATCAACGGCGTTATATTTAGGCAATTTTACTACTTCAGCGTGTTGAAACTGGGTAATTTCTGTAAATCAGTATTGGTTTTACTGGCCGCGTCCGTTATCTCAGTTGAATATTATGCTGCAAAATATTAATTTCTTACAATAGTAGGTGCCTGTACAATATTTGAGGCTACGAGAGAAAGTTACACACAATTCTTTTACTTGATATATTGAAGTTATTCAGGTTGTTTTATAACTTAAATTTTCAATGAATTTTTTCCATAAAATTATGATATTTATGAAATGTGTAATTATTAGTTAACAACAATAATTATTGATTTTATTTTATCAAGATAGTATATCAGCAATTTTTTGAATAATTATGACAGAAAATGATTTAGTGGGTTAGGTCATTTTTTCATTTTATTTTTTTTTTATATGTAAATAAAAATTAATAATTTAATTAATAATTTTTTCAAAGCTGTATGGTGTACAGTTTAATCATAATTGATCGAAAACGTTTATACGCATTAAACGAAGTGTCCTTGACGCAACGGCTTGAGTGGAGTCTAATGATGATAATAATTCATTGTTCGACCTATCGAACGGGTAATATTACGATTCACCGTGTTATATTTTAACGACCTGTAAGCCTCATGGTCATTTGGGAATCGCTGTTGATAAAAACAACGTGGAATTTCGCGTCAAACAGTACTGCGTGAAAATAGTAATATGAGAAACATATAAATACATTTTAAGTATATTAATTTTATACGTATAAATGTTATTATTATAATAACAGTTTTCATCAATTATTGAAGTCAGCTATAAATATAATGTGGCCGGTGAAAACAATATTGTTTTCATCAGCCAACATACCATATTGTTTTCATTTCCCGGTTGACTTAGTGATATCTGGCTTCAGACCCCTTCCGGAACGATAATTATTTTATATTACTACAACAACCTCACTCTCTCTCTCTCTCTCTCACTCTCTCTCTCTCTTTCCATCTAACCGTCTCAACTCGTCTCCTCCACACGTTCGTAGCACGGCGAGGAAGATTCACCCGCTCCTTCGGGACCGTTACCCCCGTCGCACTTACTATCGAAGGACACGACGAGGAAGGATGCCGCGGGGCGTATTTTTCGGAATCGATGCACTCGGCGATTGGTTGGGCGTGAAGCGTTCTGCTTCGGTGCAATGTGACCCACGCGCGGAGACGTGATGAGGTGGACAGAAACGGGGAACGCGGGTCGGACTGACGCGCAGCAGGGCGGGGAGACTACAACGGGTGCCGAAAATCAATGAGCCCCCTGACCTGCCGGCGGAACTGCTCGCACAGCTTCCACAGTCCCGGACCAGCGGCCGCCGTATAAGCATCACGACGTTTCGGGCGCGAGCCAGTTGCCGCACATTAGTGTTCTCGCGTATACGTATAATAATAATAATAATAATAATAATAATAATAATAATAATAACAACAACAAAAATATAATACTACCGATGTGCCCTTTTATCAAACATATACGACACAGGTACAACAAATACACCTCTCAACGTTATACATAAATATGTTTAATATATATTTATAATTAATATACAAGTGTGTGTGTGTGTGTGTGTGTGTATGTTTGTGTGTATGTGCGTGTATGCTTATACGTAGTGTGCACGCAGTAAGCGTATGATGTATCATCTGTATTTATTAATATAATAATATAATTATTTTGTACGCACGTATATCGCTTTCGCATGCATGTGTTCCACGGTGGTTCCGATAATGTTCCGACGACCACACTAACCTTGTCACGTGAGAACGAGTGGTCCTTTGCGGAGCACTATGTGTTCTATAGGGCGACACACTCGCACCCATGTAAAACGTGCGTTCTAACGTCCTCGAACGGATTCGTATCACCGGACGTGTGTGCACGTAGCGTACACGCGTACGCATTGCATGTGACTAGTTTATAAGTTACGTTCGACGACGGCGTGCATGCTGAATTTAATAAGTAACGTTGATAAATCGCGTTCAGTATTGCTTGTTATTATTATTATTTTTTTTCTTCCGATTTATTCAAACGGTCCCGCGACGGACGTGATTTTAGTTCGTAGCTCAACCGAAACGGTGCATGTGTCGCAGTCGAATGCTGCGCCCGTATCTCCTAGCCATGTGCACGTATCGTTTAACGGTGTGTCGTCGCACGCGGGTCACATGCGTTTTTCGTCGTTCGCGTTCGCAACAGTCGCGGTTCTTTTGAGTGCTGACCCGCGGTCGCGCGTGCGCATACGCGTTATCGTCCGATGTACTGTACAAATACGTGTTCAATAAATCACCGTCCTCAGATGGATGTCCTCTTAATGCTACGTGGAAACCAGTCTGGTATTGGAATTCGATACGGTCACGTCTCGGATTACCACACTGCTGGGATGGTAATAATATAACCGCGCACCGGACGAGCCGGTAACTTATCTAAAACGGAATATGAAGAAACTTGTTACAGGCATCGTCCTGACATCATGATAACACTACGGAAAATCGTGCTAGACGGAACGTCGATTGGGTCTCGTCTCGGATTACACCGCGTAGATATAATTTTCAATTTGATATTATCCGTAAGCTGGGAACTTGTTTTGAACAAAATGTCTCTTTGTTTTCGTGCGATTCTGTCCTGGATAGCTTTCACTGTTTACGTTCGCAATATTAGATTTCACTGTATGCCAGTTGCGCCCTATGCTCAGCCGAAAGACCCTACTCATAATTATATTACATTAAAAACGAGCTTAACCTTTTTAATACAAAAATTCCAGTTACATAAAAAAAAAATTATACAAAAAATGATAAAATATTACAACATTAAGTAACACAACATAGATAAGTAAAATACTATAAACGGTAAGAAAAAAGAGCCAATAAGAAAAATATAAAGAAACAGATATTAACTTGGTATCAAAAGTGGGATTCTCATAGGCATTTTTCATAAGACGTCTAAGTGGGTTCATTTGATGAGTAATTGATTGTGTAAAAACGGATAAAAATGTATTTAGACTATTTTTGAAGAACATTGAAATAAATTAAAAATTACAAGGATGAAGAATCAATTTTACTATCAAGCAAGTTTTATTTAGGAATTTATTACCTATAGAAAATCGACGATCGATAAGTGTATTTAAGTTAAGATGTTCAGCAATGGGTGAATATTGATGAGGCATATGAAGAATACTTAATATAGAACCAGCAAACCGAAAAAATATACGTTATGTTCTTTCAACCAAATAAGCGTAAGTGACAGTAAACGGACTTTAGACGATTTATTCAAATTGGACGGACTAGAGTAAAAAAGTGTTTCAACTACTAATTTGAGCTTTGAGTCCGAAAATATTTTCATTTATTTATAAAAAAAAACCCCTTAAATGCTTCAAAACATCTAATTTCGACGTGAGACCTAGGATCTAACGAAATGTTAAATTTGAAGTTTAGGTCAATGAAAAAGTTGTAAATACGCACAAGATTGGAATCGCCGATAAAATAAGTGTAATATAGGAGAATGAGATCGAGTGAAAGACATTACTAATATAATGTTATGTCGATATTATCCCATTTGGATACGGTTTGTATCATTTGAAAACAATTTAGAGATTAAGAATTTCGCACCACAGCAAAATATTCAATAAAAAAATAATATTGTTTAAATGGATATTCATGATAAAAAATGGTACACATTTCATTCTACATGCATTCTTCGCCTATCTCATAAAAATGTCCCTAATTGTGGCAACGGAATCAAATACAATTCTACATAAGATAATTTTTACTTTATTATGTAAGAGTTCGTATCAAAAATACATGTTTTTCAATGATATCAGTGTTATACAGTTCATTTTGTTTATTGTGATCGTATGCGAATAAATTCGCACAACATGATACATTTCGAAATATTAGATATGCAATGTGAAAATCCAGATGAAATCGCATAAATAAATAATCGGTTTTGGACTAGTTTCCAGTTTGCACTATACAATAAATTTAGCCAAGCATCATTTAACAGGCTCAAATCAAATGTACGCTCAAGACAGGTAATACCAAGGAACCATCGTGAACAGACTTTTCTGCGTGTGTGGATAGAATGTAAATTGATGGCATGGTTTTCAGTGTACAGTTAAAAAATAGTGTAGAACGAAATATATTTTTATATATAAATTATCATATGTATATATATTTAAATATATTAAAAATATAAAATATATTTATGAAAAATATGAACGAAAAAAAATGAAATAAATTTACGATAAACATAAATACAAC